GTGTAATTGATTATTCTGGGCCCATGAGAAAACTTTGGAAGGTTGTGTTGATTTTCAAATAAATCCATGACATGAATTCGATTAGTTGTCATTTGCTTCTTTTTCCTCAAAGAGTGGTGGGTTAAAAAAAAATCCTAAGTTAACAGAATATTCCAACTAATCAAAGTTTTTCTGGCTCCAACTTCATATTTTCCCCATTCAAACACTCTTATGTTTCAGCCCAACTGAGCTGCAATGTCCCATTTCCCGCCTCTACACATTTGTACAAGCCATTCTCCACATGTGAACCTACTTCCTCATCTCTGCCTCTTAGAATCTTTACCTCCCTTCAAAGCTCAGCTCAGGTACTCCTTCTACCAGGAAGCCCTTTTCTGATCCCCTCCCCCACCTCAATTGTAAGTGCTCTCTCTTCAAATCACCTTTTATCTGTTTATTTGTAGATGTTTCTAAAGCTCTGAAGGATAAGTTCCCTGAGGGCAGGAATTGTTTGTTTTTTACTTTAGAGTCCCAAGTACCTAGTAGCATGCCTTATCCATGGCTGGCACATAATAAACATGTGCAAAATTTAATTTAATAATACAGAATCAATCAAACACATCTGTATGGGGACACATGAGCACCAAGGAAGTGAGACAATGAAATATTTAAATAGCGGTGTGTGGCACAGCGACCCCAACCCAAATTAAACTCAGAGACTTCTCAAGGTGGAAAGTAAAGGTTACCTTTATTACAATCTTGCAAGATGGCTGTCTGCTCCTTTGATACACAGGAGAGAGAGAGGGAGACTGCCTAACAGGGGCCACCTTATAAAAGCAAATCTCCACCCACCATGAAAACAAGTCTCCACCCACCACTATCCCTTACCCCCTTAACTGGGGGTGGGCTTACATTCTAAGCTCAAGAGTTTCTTCCTATCCCCTTAACCGGGAGGTGGGGCTTACATTCCAGGTGAAATTCAAAGCCAAGGACAAACGGCTCAGGTTGGGGGTGGGGCAGGGCTTATTCTTTCTGTTAAGTGCTTAAAAACAGGGTCTGAGTGGGGGAGGATTTTGAAAGTAGTAATCAAGAATTATTTGACCCTTTGAGGAATCTTCACTTCTGAGAGTTCATTTCTCACACTACCTTCTGAACTCATTACCTTAATTACACTGAGAAGTCTTCACTGGGACATCCCATTCAGCGGGAAAAGCCTTCTACTGAAAGACAGAAGACTTGGGTTCTAATCCCACTCCACCACTAAACAACAAATAATCACTGGGCCTCTCTAGGTCTCAGTTTCCACATCTATAAAAATGAAGAGTTTGGATTAAGTTCTTTTTTTATTTAATTAATTTTTTGTTTTCAACAATCACTTCCGTAAGCTTTTGAGTTTTAAATTTTCTCCTCTTCCCTGTTTGCCTCCTTCCCCAAGATGGTGTGCAATCTGATATAGGCTCTACATATACATTTGGATTAAATTCTTTCTAAATTCCCTTCAGGTTCTAAAATCTGTGATTCTATTACAGGCACCATTTTATGACTGGGATTATCTGTGCTTCCAACACCCACTCCCTACTACCTATTACTGTATGTTCCTTGAAGGCAGGAAATTGAAGACAGTTCCTTCTTTCCTCCTTCCTTCCTCTTCCTCTGTCCACAGAGGGCATTATACCCTTGCCTGTGGGTGTTCTGCCCAAGGGAATATACATTTTGATGGCTGAAACCTCACAAGATATTTTGGGGTTTACTCGCTAGATGTTTTTTTTTCCTCTTCTCTATTTATTTATTCTATCATTAAAAAAAACTGGGATAATTTTTGCCCCATGTAGTTTCATTTGTGATTTCTCGAAATAGAGCTCAGGAAAACCAGGCTTTGATAAATCCCATTGGGATTTAAATGGAGCTACCTGTGTGGGATGCTACTCAAATTAAAAAAAAACACACAGAGGTATCCAAGGAGAAACAGAAAGTTAATTTATTATTATTATATCAAACCTCGAGATTTGGGTGTCCCTCCACCAGAATACTCTGATGAAAGGAGACACAGACAGAAGCAAAGGACCTGATTATATTCCTTAATGGGCAAATTCCCATAAATCAATTGATTTCTAGTAAATCGAAACTTAGGCCTGTCAGGCTGCTATGCCTGCCTTGAGTCTAAAACAATTTCTATTTATTCTTCTAAGAAGTTTTCACAGGACCCTCATCCCACTCAGCCTTATCCCAAACCTTAATTACACTGAGGAGTCTTCACTGCAACATCCCATTCGCAGTGACCAAGTCTTAGACCCAAATCACTCTGGCTCTCTCTGCTTGGCCAACAGTAGGTCCCAGCCGAGCCTCACTTGGTCATTGTTTGGGTTTTGATGGCTCAGTGAATGTAAATAGAAATTATTTCTATTCTGGCCAGAAATCCTTAGGGTCTTCCCCTCCCAGATTAATTTTTTTTTTCAGTAGGTAAGGAGCCATTTTTTGCCTCATTTCTTACCTATTTTTTACCTACATTTCTTACTCATTCACTGAATGAGTGTTGTCTCAGACAAACTGAGATCTGGGAAAGACCTTAGCTTAAAAGGACCAAGGTCCCTCTGATGCGGTTTAGGGGTTCAGGGGTCCTGGGACCCCAAAATCACAACATGCGGGTACTGTCCGAAAGAATTCAGCCCAAGCGTTCTTTCAGCCAAAGACAAGGTTTATTAGAATATCTATCATATTGGTCAGACTCTTAAGGAGTTTGAACATTAGTAAACTATTGGCAGGTTATAAGAATCTAAGCAGTGGCTAGATTGTAAGAATCTAAGCATTTTAATGGAGACAAGATGGACCTTATATACAGAAAAACTGTGGGAGGGATCTAGGAGTGGCCAGTAAGCTGGGGTGAACAGAACTCCTGGGACCTAAGGGCAGGAAATGGTTGGGGCCATACATAGGGAGGCAAGACAATGGAGGGGATATTGGGTGTAGCCACCATGAAAGGCCAGTTGATGGGATTATAGCCTCAGGCCAATGCCAGACATTTGGCCATGTGGGAAAGTCCAGGCTTTTTCCTTTCTGGGGCCTAGATCCCAACCCCATCACCTCCACTGGGGGCACCTCCCATGTCCTGATCTATATCTTGCCACTGGACCCAGATGGCTCTGCAGAAGAGAGTGAGGTTGGTGAATTTGCATAGCCCTGGCCCACTTAAATCCAATTAACTTACAAGTCAAGAATACAAGTCACCTTTCTGATGTCATTGGTCCTCTTTGAAAACAAAAATAAAGGACAAAAAACAACAGGGCCTTGAATATAATATTAGGCACTCAATAAATGTTTGTTGACTGAATGAAGGCAGTGTGATGAGGAAGATCTTGGAAGACTTGGGTTAGAATCTATTGGAATCACATGTACTGACTGTGTGGCCAAGGACAAGTCATTCAGTGCCCCAGGTACTCTCTAAGACTATAAAATGTCAATGGGACTAATATTTTGAATCCAATCTCACAGGGTTTTGTAAAAATCAACTTTTACAAACTTTAAAGCATATATAAATATTAAGTAATATTATTATCCCCTGAAGGATTTCCTATTTCTCTTGGAAATCATGGGGTATTGTTTATGAAGTAAACTATAAGCCCCGTGAGGGCGCACAGTTTTAAGCAACCTGGAGCTGAAGCACCACATTTGCAGGACTCCCCTCATTGCTGGAGAGAAAAATTTCTTCATGTTCCATGTCTGTGTGAGGAACAGAGTTGGAAAGGGGAGATCTTTCTGGTCTTCTGGCTTTGAGAGAGGACACATGGAGTGCCAGCTCTCTTCAGGGATAAGTCTCTGGAGGGAGAGAAAGAATGAAGAAGGTGACATGTAAAAGAGCCAGCACTTCAAACATGTCTCTAGCACCAATTACCACTCTAGAGACTTAAAAGAATTTCCCCTTGGCTTAGATGGAGGGACATTCTCTTATGGCTGAGCTGTTGAGCAAGCCTAGATAATGTCCTATCTTCATCTTCTATTACTTCATCAAGCAATAGGCTTCTATCATATATAGTACACCTTTACTAACTGCGCATTGAATGAAGGCAGAAATGTGGCCCAAGATATTGTGGAAGAATTTTCAGCAAAAGGATTGAAACAAAATGAAAATTTCTCATTAACCAGATGATTCAGCTTTCTTTTTCTTCAGTTTTTACCCCCAGGAGAATTTATTTCATCTTAGACTGCAAGCCCTAGATTATAGGACAATGGATTTAAAATGTGTTGAAAGGAACCTTTTTACAGATCACTTACCAACCCCTCTCATTTTATAGGTGAGGAAACTGATGTCCACAGAAATGATTAAGTGATTTGCTCAAGGTCATATAGTGGAAGAGTTTGGATTCAAATCTACACATCCTGATTTCAAATCCAGTTTTCTTTCCTATACACTATTCTATCTTTATAACTGTGTTTATTGGTGAATCTCCAAAGTCAGTATACTGTAGGTTGAAATGAGGGATGGAAGAAAGTGAGGAGTGAACTGACAGGTTAGGTTTTGGTAAATGATTAGAGGCGAATGGTGATGCCGAATATTGGGGTTAGACTCTTGGAGATTTCAAACCTGGTATGGCGATGCCATCAACAGCAACAGGTATCATGGGAGGAAGAATATGTTTGGAGGCATAATTGGGAGTTGTGAGGTCAGTTTGAACATGCTAAGTTCAGGTGAAGGAGGGACAGATGGCTCATGTGGAGTTTATGTCTGACAGGCAGTGGAAGATGTGGGCCTGGAGGTGGGAGACTGGATAGATAGGGGTGGAGAGAGATTTGGGAGTCAAGTGATTGTAGATGAAGCCATAGGATGGATTAGTTTTCCCAGGGAGAATGTAGAGGGATTAGGGAAGAGGTCCAAGGGCAGTTTTGTGGGAATTCTGTACTTAAAGATATACAGAAGAAGTCTCAAGGCTACCAGCCAGAGAGGGCTCTTCCTTCCCAGAGTGAGGATGGGGTCCTTGGCCTCATAGAATCAATAACCTTTTTTTTTTCCATTTTTTAATGGATCCAATTGTACCAAAGCCCAGTTTCACATCCTTTCTCCTTAACAGGTTCATCTAGTGTTTATAAGATAATTGCAACTTTGTGGCACTGATCCAGACAGCACCTGTTCTGCCCAGGGTGCTCTCAACATGCCCTGTCTGAGATCTTCCCAGGAGTCACCCTTTAGGAAAAATCTCCAGGAGAAGGGTCTAAGCGTGGGTGGAGGTGAAAAGTGGGAAGTGTGGTATAGAAGGAAGGGGTCTGAACCCACTTTTATAGCCTTGCGTTTTAGGGACCCAGTGGGGCTCTTCGGAGCTCAGGGGCTCGAAGTCAGAAGTCAGAGGCCCCGAGGTCGGGGAGCCAGCGGCCCAGGAGGCCGCTCCGGGACGCAGTGAGAGGCACTTTCCAGCAGAGGGACAGGAGGAGCCCTGGGCACCCTCGGGCACACTCTCATATTTCCTGTTGGCAGGGCCCGAGTTCCCAGCCCAGGTAGCGGCTACAAGGAAGGAAGGGCCTCACAGCCAAGCCAGCTTTGCGCAGGGCGCAGAGTCCTCACCCTCTGAGGCGCAGGTAGGGTGCCCAGGACCTATCGGGTCGCGTAAGGGACGGAGGAGGAGTGGGGGGAAAGCAGGGGTGCGCTTCTGCGGCCCAGGCTCGAAGCCCGGGCTGGGGGCAAGGCGCTGCGGGGAGGGCGCGCAGAGCCAGGGGGCCAGAGGCGCAGCCCGGCTCTCCAGACAGGAACAGGGGCAAGGGCAGGGGCACTGCGCGGCGTGGCACGGCCGGCTCAGGCCCCTCTCCTCCGCGCCCCCGTTGCTGAACGGGCGCGCTGCCAGGCTGGGCTTCCCGGAGCCCGGGCGAGGCTTTGCGTACCCAGGGAGGGTCCCCTTTTGCCCATACTCGGCTTCTCGATGGGGGGTGCGCGGCGCAGGGTGGCCAGAGAGCCGTGGGGCAAGGTGCGGCCCCGAGGCCAGGCAGGGGCGAGGCGCACCATTTCGCGGGGGGCAGAGGGCTTCGGACCAAGCAGCCCCAAGTCCGGTGGGGGGCATTGGGGCGGGGCGGGATCCAGGACTACGGCCGCGGTTGGAGTCATTGCCTCCGGCCAGGGCGGCTCCGCTCTGCTTCCCCCTCCTCCTCCTCCTCCTTTTTCTTCTTCTCCTCCTTCCTCTCCTCCCCTTTCTGGTTTTCCTCCTCCTTCGGCCCGCAGTGCCTCCCGCCTTCCTCTGATCAGACGGCATGGCCCAGTCCCTGGAGCCCGGTAAGTGATGGTGGCGGGGGCCGGGAGGGGGTAGGAGGAAAGAAGGAGCGGGATGCTGGGTGGGAGAAGGAAAGAGGGGGGCCGACCTTGAGGCGGGGAAGTCCTGCGCGATGGAGAGAAGGCTGAAGGACCCTCTGGTGTTGTAGGTCTCGTTCCACAGTCTCGGCTGGGAGTGAGTGGGATGGCAGTGGGAATTACCCGGGTTGGAGTTGCCCGAGGTCAGGGTTTGGGTGCGGGGCGGCCCCGCAAAGTGGAGCTTCCTTCCCCTTCCCCTCCCGCTCCCAGGCCCTTCTCTCAGCCTTGCCTGTTTTAGCTGGGATCCTGCGGCCGCACGCGCCGCGCCCCGCCCCTTTCCCTCCGCAGGCCGCTGCACCTGCCGGGTCTGGGGCTAAGTAGCATTTAGGGACCCAGAGAGGTCTGCCAGGTGTAGGGAAACAACGGTTGCCAGGCACTCAACCGTGCCTTGTGTAAAACCTGTGAGATCTGGGACCCGCTTTGAGTAAGCTCAAGTTTGGAGTTGTTTCAGAAGAGGCCACATTGAGATGGTGTAGATGTAAGATTACTCAGAGGCCGGGGCATAGACCAAATGACCTCCTCTTCAGGTGTGTGTGGGTATGGGTAGGGTCCTTCACCCCTCTCTTAGACATCCTGGACAGTCAGAGGCTCACAGCTTTGAATATCCCGTTGGCCTTTTTTGCCCACAGCCCTCTCTAGCTTATTGACTCCCGCCTTGGACGTGGTTGAGCTCAGTGGGAATTCTGAGGGCCAGAGGAGGCTGGCCTTGAGAGCCTGAGGAAGCTGGCCCAGAGCTGTTGTTGACTAAGTCTTGCTTTTTACAAGCTGCAGAGCCCCTGGTGTGATTGGAAGCCTGGCCTCTGCTTACCATTAAGCAAGTCTGGGGAAACGAAGAGAAACGGAGGCCTTGGGAGGGTTTTTCTGAACTACTACTCCAAGTCTGTGGATCCTGTCTGACATTGTATCCTTGAAGATGAGATGACTAGCTTTGGGTTATCTCCATGTGATGGATCCTAGATCTCTTAAGGGCCAGGTGGTCCACCCTCTTCCCCCCTCCCCCACCTTTTTACTGAGTCTGAGGCCCAGCAAGAGGCTTGATGGGATTTCCCCAGAGTTACTTAGGTAGTGACTGAGCAAAGTGGGATTGGAACCCGAATACTCAGACTTCAAATCCAGTACTCTTTCTCCTGTGAGCTGGCAGGCTGCCTGACACATAGTACACACTTAATAAATGTGTGGTATTGAATTGAAATAGAGATGAGGCAGTTGAGTTCACTAGAGGATAAATTCCTCCCTTGCCCTTCAAGTGTTAATGCTGGGAGGTAATTAAGTTATTAAAATGTGCTGCTGAGTGCCTTTGTCAGGAGTCACCCTGTGGTGTGCATCGGGCTAAGCATAGCTGACATACTCAGGCTAGAAAGGACAGTGAAAAGGGGGCTCGACCCTGGGTGAGACCTGCATGGTGTTGGTGAGGCAGGGCAGGGTGCCTTTCTAAAAATGGTGGGGTGTCTGGGTCACTCTGACTCCCAGCTTTCCAGAGCAGGATGATGTTAGGCAGGGCCTTTCTGCCTCACTCCCAAGCAACAGCTTCCCTAGATAAGGAAGAGGGCAATAGTAGTGTCTATCCAAGTCTTCTAGATCCCTGTTAAAGGTTATTTAATGGCTCTTTGTGATGGAAGGGAAAAGCTAACCTTCAGAGCTCTAATAGGTGATTCCTAATCCTTTGAAACTGATTTCCCACTCTTCCCCCTTCCCCTTTAGGCTCAATTTCTTTCTGTTACCTCTCAGGTTCCTGATAGCAGTGCTTCTCCCAACATCTAGCTTCTCTGCCCCTCTCAGTGAAATCTCTTTCCCTCTCTGTCTCCTCTTCTGCCGGCTCTGCAAGATCTCATTCCCCAAGTTCATAACAAATAAGAGCTGTCCAACAGTAGAATGAGCTTCCTTGTTAGATATTGAGTTCTCCATTACTGGAGATGTTTGCATGCCTTTGCAGTATGTGAGCTCCTTGAGGGCAGGGGGAAGCCTCACTTTTTGTCTTTGCATCCCCAGTGCTGAATACATCCTTAAACATGTTTGTTGCTTTAGGTGAAATTAATCCCTTAGGTGCTATCAACAACTGACATTTTTATAACACGAATATTTGTACAATTCTTTACATTGCCATGTGTCAGCCTCACAACAACCTCAAGAGGTAAGTAGGTACTAGTTATTATCATCCCCCATTTTTTGTTCAGTCACTTTTCAGTTGTGTCTTGACTCATTGTGACCCCATTTGGGTTTTTCTTGGCCGAGATACTGTAGTGGTTTGCCATTTCTTTCTCTAGCTCATTTTATTTTATTTTATTTTTCATTTTTAAAAAAATTTTTTAATTTTAATTTTGAATTATCAACAATCATTTCCATAAGCTTTTGAGTTTTAATTTTTCTCCTCCCCTCCCTCCCTAAGACAGTGCACAATCTGATATAAGCTATACATATATATTCCTATTAAACATATTTTTCTTCAACTCATTTTACAGATGAGAAAACTGAGGCAAACAGGGTTAAGTGACTTGCCCAGGGTCACCCAGCTAGTAAAAGTTTGAGGCTGGATTTGAACTCAGGAAGATGAGTCTTGCCGACTTCAGGCCTGGTGCTCTATCCACTGTACCACCTAGCTGCCCCCCTCTTCCCCAAATTACAGATGAATAAATGGAGGCTCAGATAGGTTATAAGTGCTGCCTGTTGCCACATAGCCAGAAAAGGTGGTACCATAGTTATTATCATTCTTGATTTACAGATGAATGGAGGCTCAGATAGTACCTGTGCTTTGCCATTGCCACTTAGCTAGAAAAGGTCAGTCAGATTTTGAAGCTCAGACTTCTTGATTCCAAGTCCAGCACTCAATTCACTTCGCCTCAGTGCCTACCTCTCCATGTGGTAATCTCCACACATCCTTTTGCCCCAGTGTTCCTTCCTCTTAGGGGCAAAGAAAGTTACCTGTGTTGGCTAATGGTACAGTACAAGATTTTATTGGGCACAACTTAATGGCTGAGATTCTATCATCTAGTCATTCAACAAATATTTAATTAAGCACTTCTGATATACTAGGCACTGTACAAAGGCAAAAACAATGACAAAAAACCCCCAGTGCCGAATATGTCCTTAAACATGTTTGTTGCTTTAGGTGAAATTAATCCCTTAGGTGCTATCAACAACTGATATTTTTATAACATGAATATTTGTACAATTCTTTACGTTGCCGTGTGTCAGCCTCACAACAACCTCAAGAGGTAAGTAGGTACTAGTTATTATCGTCCCCCATTTTTTGTTCAGTCACTTTTCAGTTGTGTCTTGACTCGTTGTGACCCTTAGGGGTTCTATTGGAACCTTTATGTTCTTATGTTCTATTGGAAGGGAAGAGCCTACTCACAGAAAAGAGAAGGGTGTTTGAGTCTTCTTGGCAAGGGATGTTGAGAGCCTGAGCTAGGATTTTGGCCCAGGGAATGGAGTTCCAAATTCTCTCCCTCCCTGCTCCCATTGAGAAGGCAAGCAATTTGACATACGTTATACATGTGTAGTCATGCAAAACACATTTCCATGTAAGTCATTCTGTGAAAGAAAACAGACAACCCCCCCCCAAAATAACCTCAAGAAAAATAAAGTAAAGAAAAGTATCTCTGATCTGCATTCAGGCTTTCTCTGGAGATGGACAGCACCTTTCATCCTAAGTCCTACGGAATTGTCTTGGATCATTGTATTGCTGAGAATAGCTAAGTTATTAATAGTAAATCATACAATATCGCTGTCACTGTGTACAATGTTCTCTTGATTCTGCTCCTTTCACTTTGCATCAGTTTGTGTAAGTCTTTCCAGGTTTTCTGAGCATCCTGCTCATAATTTCTTAAAGCACCATAGTATTCCATCACAATTATATACAACTTGTTCAGCCATTCCCCAATTGATGGGCATCCCCTCAATTCTTTGCCCTCAGAAAAGAGCTGCTATAAATATTTTTGTATGCATAAGTCCTTTTCCTTTTTTTTTTTTTATTGTTTAGTCAAAGGGTATACATGGTTTTATAGCCCTTCGGGCATAGTTCCAAATTGCTCTCCAGAGTGGTTGAATCAGTATACAACTTCACCAATAGTACATTAATGTTTTAATTTTCCCATATTCCCTCAAACATTTGTCATTTTCCTTTTCTATCAGATTAGCCAATCTGACAAGTATGAGGTAGTAGCTCAGAGCTGCTTTAATTTGCATTTCTCATCAATAGTGATTTAGAGGATTTTTTCATATAACTATAGGTAACTTTGAT